ATCTCCCCCCCCCCCCCCCCCCCCCCCCCCCCCCCCCCCCCCCAAAAAAAAAAAAAAACATTAAACACAATTTTCATATCGATGAGCAAATTTACACAAGAGGATACTTTTGAGGAGTAATTATGCCTCATGCTTTTAGGGGTGTGTGCTAGGGGTGGGCAAAGCGATAGGTTGGCTCGTCCCACGGGCTAGCCTGTGTAGGCCCAATGGCAAGGGGATCTAGCTCGTGGCTCACGTCGAGACCATCGAGGCATTTCTAGTTGCTTGTCTTCGAGCCTAGAGCTCAACCCAGCCCATTAGCAGGCCAAGAATAGGGGGACGGGCCATAGCACGGGCCGACCCACCAATCCCACTTAGAAGTTTTTGCTTTTATTTTTATTTTATTTTTTGTATTGTTTATTTTCTTGTCTTTTAAGTATTGTTGACACTTAAAAAATATGGTTAAATAACAAACTAACAATTTGATGATTATAAGTGATAAAAATAAGTTTATTAATGGCTTTATGATAGTTTTATAAAAAGTTCGATAATATTAGCTAAGTTATGCCAATTCTTTTAAAATATGTAGTTTTTTTAACTGTCGATACTCAAATATTAGTTCTTAGTTCACAAAATATATACTTATGTTGATAGAACTATTATCATAATTGAGGAGAATAATAATGTAAAATTGTAGGCATGACGGGCCGGGATGAGCGGGTCAGCCCGCCTGTAAGCGAACCCAACTTGCTCAATAAGCCAAACTGGCTGAGCGGGATATTAGCCCACATCGACTGAGGGCCAACCCAGCCTGCCTCGTAGCCCACTCAACAAGCGGTCCGAGATCATCCCGTCTGGCTACCAAGCCTAGTCAAGCGGAGCCTAAATGCATACAGAGGGAACAAGCTATCATGTCAACTCAGCCTAACGCCCACACCTATTGCATGTGTGCGTGCACGTGGGTTAGGGAGGGGGCTTTGAATAAATCTTATAACCCTTAATTGAAAGAGGGTTTTCTAATATTTTGAAAGTTATGGGGTTGGTATTTAATTATCCTCCAAATTTAAGGGGGGTTTTAAAAAATTTAGCCCTAAAATGTTTAAGAGATAATAAAGTTATTAATTGAGTAATCAAATTTCAACTCAAAGTTTAAATTGAAAAGAGAGAAATGATTGGACGATAGCAACATATTTTCTATATGATTTGTCATTGCAGTTTGTAAACTGAACCCATTGTCTTAATGTTCCAATACTTTAAGCAATATTCTAAAACAAGCATTGCGCGGCCACTTAATCAGGTGATAAAGCTGATGCAAACCAAATCAACATAGGATTGATGTTAATCGCTCAAACAAATGGCCAACCACTTAAGCAGAGCGGGTTGATTAAGCTCCCACATAATTAGGCTATGCAAGAGCATTTTTGGTTGCATGTTTGATTTAAAAAGCAAAAACTCGTACCCATTTGGCATAAAGTCCTAAATCTAATCCTATTCTGCTTTTCTCTCTCTTCTCAATCAATTCATCCCCTCTGCCACTCCCAAAAAACCATAAAACATCACCGCTACCCCCACCAAATCTTCACCTCTCAAATTGAAAAAAAAAATATCTCCTCTCATGCATTGCGTCCTCCAAAGAGGAGTTGGATGCTAATGTCCATTTTAAGGATATTAAGGAAAATTAGATGAGTTATTTTGTTTTATGGACATTTAGTTTTGGTTTAAGTATTAAATTTAACGAATTTTATTCAAGTATTTAGTTATTTCTGATGTATGTATTGAACTTTTAAGTAGTCAACCAGTTATTGATTGTCACTTTGCATCTTTATTGATCTTTTCTTAGTATATTTTCTATTTTCATGAATTTTATATATTTGAACATAACATAAATTATTAAATATAAAAAATTTAAAAATGAAAAATTCCTCGTAATCCACGTAATCAACACTTAATCCAATTAATTGCTAAAAGCACCCGAACCTCGCAGATAATAAAACCGTATTTTTTAACATTGACATTGAGTTTTTAATTTACTTTTAGGCATATGGATAAACCAATGTTATTGTTGTTAACAAAGAAAACAATCACGAGAAACAAAAGATTACATACAAATTAAAAAAGAGGGAGGTTTATGACAAATGTAAAAACTAAGGTGTTCGACAATAGATTAAATTGAGGGTAGTGTGGTTATTAACAAAAAATTCAACACCCAGAATTTAACGAATCTTAATAAAAGGACTTAGTTTGTAACCAAGATGTGGTACGAAGACAAAGCTGTGAAAAAAATAAGTGCAGGGACCAATTTGAGTATGGAACCGAAGTATAGGGACTAAATTAACCTTTTAGCCTTTGTTTTACCATCTACTAAAGTTTTTGGGAGCTACAATACTTAGCTACAATGGCACTCCCAAAAACCTCTAAATCTTTAAGTATTTATTTACCAAATCTTTTGAATTGATTGAAATTGATCTCTCTGGTTAGCACCATGTTGAAAGATTTCGGAGACTAATTCCAAAACGCTTAACATATTTGGGAGTAATTTAAAAATATAAAAATTTGGGGACTAACTTTAAAACACTTAAATTTTAAAAGACTCGGTCAAAATGTGAAGGTTTGGGAGAACTAATTTCAAAATATGAAAGATATGGGACCTATGGGTAACTAATAAAAACCTCTAATCATCTAAACATGGCTACGGGTGTTGTGTATCAGTTGCTATCAGTGTACTTCTTTTCAAAAAGTTGCTATCAACGTACTTGTTTTCAAAAGGAAAAAAAAAAAATTTAATTCTGGGTTAGTGGCTACAGTTGCATTCGCTTTCTTCTCTTATATCTTACCATCTACACAGAGCTTTTGGGAGCTACAGTGAACTCCCTAAAAGCTTTAGTAAACAGTAAAATATAAAGTATAATATACTGTTTTCATCCTTCCAAATATTTTCCAACTCTGCCTCCCGTATTGACTAATCAAACATGAAAATTATCTCCGAACCTTCCGTCTAACCTGTTAGTTTTAAAAAGCCCCCTCAGCTTTTGGGGGGTGTCTAGAAGCCCCCTTCAACTATTTTAATTTGAGCGAACCCCGCTCAAACTTGGGGCGTAGGTGAAGTACAAAGGTAAAGTCGGCTCCTTTCTGCTCCCGTTCAGTGATAAATAAAAAAAAATTAAGCAAAGAAAAGATAAGTTCTCAGTGCTTCGATACTTTAAAAGACGGCAACTCTTCTACGATGGAAACCAAACCCTTCCACGTAGCAGTTCCCAAGGGAACAAGTGGGCCCCACTGGTACCCCCCCGAAAATTCTAGAAGCGAAGGGAGGAACATGCCTTGAGGGAAGAGCAGATGGCCTTGAGATTCTGCCGGTACTCATCCAGCGGCACGCTCTGGAACCCCCCGCAGCGATCGGCGATGCAAGCGTCATTGGCCCGAAGAAGACGGTCACCGCCACCGCGCGCGGCTTTCGGCGGTGCCCACATCCTCCAGAGCGCTGTTCCATCACCTCCAGCCCACCGAGTGTTGTACCCGCTGTACCCCTCAGCAACACGTCCACCTAGACCAGCAGACAACGCGGCGGTAAGCTGACCCGCTGGCATCCCGATAAGGGCGGGGCGGAAGAGAAAACAGGAGGAGGCAGCAACTTTACCGTACCCTGCGGGATGAAGTGGTGGGGCGAGACTGGCGGCCCATCCTCCGGAGGAGAAGGCCTCCTCGGTGATTGAGTCGCCGAACAACAAGATCTTGCGGCGCATTTTTTGAGAAAATCCTGCTCCTGTCTTGATATTCTAGTTGGTGGATCTGGGATCTTTATAGATCTATGATAGGATTCCCCAGTAGATCTGAGGCGTCAATGAGGAGGGAGAGGATAGAGATTTGAGACTTCGAGATTTGTGCTCTTTGTTTTCGAACCGGTTCTCCTTTTTTTGGCTCGTCTACTTCTCCACCAACCGTCAATTTCCGGTGTGTAATGACGAAACAACCCTTGGTTTTGAAGTGCAGTTGAGGGTTGAGTGACCCCACTAGCCTGGTGTTGGCCTGGGGAACCGGGACGCAAGACTGCGCGGCTCCAGGGATCTTCAGACTTGGAGTACGCTACGAAGGGTGGGGAGTCGGAGCACACAAACAGGACGTTTTTTTGTTTGGGATTCACTACACGGACCTATGGAACCTAATAAAAAGGACAGGTGAGTTGTCCTCCTCCTATTATATAAAGAACTGACAATTATTAATGATCAGCGTATTATGTAATAGGAGGAGGATACCTCACATGTCTCTCGTGTTGGTCCCATATTTTGAATCATTGACGAATTTTTATTTTTGTTTGGGTAGTCACGCACATTGATGGTCAGCTCATTATGCAATAGGAGGGAGACATCTCACATGTTTTTCATGTTGGTCCCATATTTTGGATCATTGGGAAATCTTTCTTTTTGTTTAGGTAGCCACGCGCAACAGACGGTCCAGGGTTTATGTCGTGAATTTATGAGATATAGCGTGCACCCATGCAAAACATGACCCACTATTTTTTTTAAGAATTGTATTTTAAATTTGTTTCCCTTTAATTTTTAATACATTTAATTTGATTATTATATAGTTAAAATTAAAAATCATATTTACTGCTTTATACTTAAAGAAGAATTCGAGTTTAATACATTTAATTTAGAAATTATATCTACTCCTCTATACTTAAAGAAAACTCTAAGTTTTAATAACTATCGCATAAATAGAAACATTAAGTATGGATGAGCAGATTTGATTTATTGTTTATGATACAATAAACACTGTAGCATGAACAATATTTCAAGCATAGAAAAGCGTATTTGATTTACTGTTCATGCTACAATATCTATTATAGCATTTATTAGTATAAACAGTGATTTTTTTAGATCCTCTTTTAGGCATAGAGGAGTAGATGTCGAAGATTCAAAGAAGTATAAATTATCTAATTTTAAATTCAGAATAATTTCTTCCCTAGCCTTTCTAGAAAGTCGCATTTGCTCTCTAACTTAAGGGCTTGTTTGGATTGAGGGGAATGAGGGTGAAGGGAAGTTAGGGGAACCATTCACCTCCATTCATCTTGTTTGGGAACACTTAGGAGGTGAAATTAATTCACCCTAGTTCCCCTTGGTTCACCCCCTAATAGTATAAAAATTGTTACCCCCCAAATTGGGGTGTAACCAAGGGGAAGGGAATTCCCTTCCCTTCCCTTCCCTTCCCTTCACTCAGTTTCCCTTAACTTCCCTTCACCCCCTACAAATCCAAACAGGCCCTAAAAGTTTTGTCAGCCCACCCTTTCACCAAATTTTCCATGTAAAGAAAGTCAATGTAGTTGGGAGGGAAGAGAGGATGAAGGATAATTTGTATTTTGATGAATAGAGAGGAGAGAGGATGTTGAAGGTGGTTGTGTGAAAAGATAGGGTGAAGGAGATGAGAGGAGAGAGAATAAATGTATCACAGAGGAAAGAAGAGGGAAAAGATGAAAGGGATGAAAAATG